AACTGGCTTTTTAAAAAAGACTTTATTTATTTATTATGAATACAGGGGTCTGCCTGTATGTCTGTTTGTATTCCAGAAGGGGGCACCAGATCTCATTACAGATGGTTTTGTGAGCCATCATGCGGTTGCTAGGAATTGAACTCAGGACTTCTGGAAGAGCAGCCAGTGCTCTTAACTGCTGAATCATCTTTCCAGCACCAGAAACTGACTGACAAATAAAAAATTTAACTTATAAAGTGAAAATTTGAAAACATTTGCCACCCCCTCCCGTGTGTGTGTGTGTGTGTGTGTGTGTGTGTGTGTGTGTGTGAGAGAGAGAGAGAGAGAGAGAGAGAGAGAGAGAGAGAGAGAGAGAGAGAGAGACTAATGCACTAACAGCAACATTAATGAATTTGGAGGTCTTATCTGTTATTGTCTCCCTTTGGGTGTTATGTAGTGGTATTAGGTGGCCCAGTCTTAGTCCCCTGAACTCAGGCATATTTTCTTTCTGTGGGTCCTTATCTCATTCTCCTTCCTCCTCCCTACCCTTGTCAGGCATCTGACTGTTCCTACTGTACATGTCAGTGACCACCCTTTGCCTATGCAGTAAATCCAATCTCCTTGTCTTGGTTTATCAAGCATATACCACAAACACCCTGTCCAGATCCAGCCTGGAAGGAGTCTTCATTACATTAGGCACAGACTTTTTCCTGTTTCATGCTTGTCATCTGCTCACAGCATCTTGCACAGAGCTCTCACCGAAATTCAGCCACAGGTAAACCCTCTCAAATCTCATTGTACATGGTAACCCCTTCTGTTGAGCACTCTAAACATGTTTGTTTCTATTTCTCCTTTGGAGTCTATGGTATTTTCCTCTGAATTACAGTGGCTCACATGTCAGTCTTGGTGCTTCAAGTATACAAGGCTGTGGATTGCTTAAGGAAGAGATTGTCTTGTGGTCTCTTGACACATAACCTTGTGACTTACATGAAGTGTGTTCTTTATAAATGTGTTTGTTTGTTCTGCCCTTTGCTTGCTTGGAGTCCATGCCCTTGAAACCTTAGAACAATCATAGAAACCGTTGTCTTTGCCACGAGCCCTCTGGGATCTCAAGGAAAGAAAGAAGACAGATAAGGTAGCCCTGGCAGCAGACCCGCCAGTGAGGTGCAAGGGAACAGGTCTGGTCTGGGTAGGTGGGCGGGGCTCACTGCTGACCATTATCTGAAGTGAGCACTGCCTAAAAGTCTTGTTGATTTTATTTTATCGCTGTTTTGTGGGTTGTAATGGTGGTGGGGAGTGAGGTAGGGATGAACAGTAACTCTAAAGGGGCTTTTCTCTTAGATGAAAAATAAACTGATTTTTGAAATACAAAGCGTAACCTATATATATTTAAAGATCTGTTCTTTCTGGTCTAATGGGAGATGGGGAAAAATTGGAGGACTTAGCTAATTTTTACAACTCTGAAATAGCCACAGTGCTTCAAAATGTTGACAATTCGGCTCCTATAGAAGACAATAGGCTTTTCTAAAAAAAAAAAAAAAAAAAAAAAAAAAAGAAAAAGAAAAATTAAACTCAAAGGGGGAAAAAAAAAACAGGCACAACCCTAAATTACTACCTTTTGGCAGTGTAATTCTATGCCAATTCTCCACAAAATATATGATACTGGTTTCAAGGTTGTTCATCTAATGAATTTTAAAACTACTTTATGCCCATAAGGTATTATTAATATCACATTTAATGTTTCAGAAGGAAAAGCAGTTAAATGGTGGGGTTTGTTCTCAAGGGAAAATTGCTATGCTCAGTTTGTAGAAAAATAAATGTTAAATCAATTCTATATTGAATGACACCTATTGGGAGGGGCACATCAGAAATGGGGAAAGCACTAGGGGGTGAATAATGAAGCAGACTGCAAATTATAAATTTTTCCAGATATTCATTTTAGGAGACATTCTGATGAGGTCCCTGTTGTTATTTTAGTATTCTTAAAAGATGGAGACAGTCCTAAAGGACTGAAGTGTGTGTGTGTGTGTGTGTGTGTGTGTGTGTATACATACATATATATATATGTATTTATATACATATGTATGTATGTATAATTTTTAAAGGAACCTGATCAGCAAGCTTATCTTGTTTAGCTCTAAATCTGATGTACGGATTGCAGACCAGATCTTCGTACTGCTTATGATATGTCCAGAGGCATTCTGGATCCTGCAGAGGCATAGTGTGGCTTTATGGAACTCAGCATGTGTTGAACAATTTTAATCTCCTTCCATGACAAAAGACAGGACCTATGGCTTGGAGGCAAGCAATGGAGTCCATTTATCTCTCACTCAAATTTTTATTTCTACCCCACATGTGATGCCTCTTAGCAAATTAAGTTGAGCATCATGTTTCTAAAGCTGCAGTCCTTATGGAGATCATGAAACTTACTGTATGCAGGCATACATCTTATAGAAAGGGATATCTTTTAAGGTAGTCCAGTTATTTAAAACCATTAACTTAAAGTTGCGTATAATTCTTATGCATAGACAATAGCATACATATGTGCTTAATCCATGCAGACTTCCTGTGTACCAGTCAGTGGCTAGAACAGAGAATCCTGGCATCGAGGAGTTGTTCTTCTGTCAACTACTCCAGTGGAGAATGGTCCAAAGGTGTTTAAAAGTTCCTTTGGAGGGGCACCTGCAGGACATATTCTTCTAAATCAGTGGAAGTCTTCCCAGGCTTCCCATAGACCTGCCTAGTCCTACTCTCAAATGAGTCCTATTGCGTTGGTCTGAAGTGAGGCCTCAGGCAGTGTTTTTGAAGGGTTTTCCTGGCAACCCTAATATGCCCCAGTATTGAGAACCACAAGACAGTGTCCTGAAGCAAACCAATTTATGCCCATGCCCTGTTCAGTACAGTGGCAATGAACACAGTCCTCATCTGACAAACATTCATTTGTGCACCCAGCATTGCCAGGCACCATTTTAGGTGCTTGGAGACAGACAGTACAGCAATAAATAAAGTAGATATAGACTTTGTTCTCAAGAGTCTTACTGTCTAGGCATGAAATGTTCATTAAGCAGTGACCCAAATCACAACAAAATCTTAAGCTATGATGAGTACTTGGAAGTAGTAGAGGGTGCTGTGGGAAGCAATGCTGGGTGTGTTTGACTGGAGGCTCAGGAGAAAGAAAATACTGGATTCTGATTTAAACCAGGAGCAGGAGTTGAAGTAGGGCCCATCTGCTGTAAGCACTCCACTGAACTTTCAGAGGAGAGGTGTGGCACAGGTCTACAAGGCAGAGAGTATCCGGACTTGAGGTAATGTGGGGAGAGCTGGAGAGCGGAGCCCATTGAGGAATGATACAGGAAAGTCCATTCATCTGACTCTGTTTGAACAACAGAATAAGGAAGGCAGACTTCTCAGGGTTGTTTTGCAGGTATCTGGCCAGACACTATTTGCTGACATAGGAACTACTGGCGGGGAGAACATTAGCACACTCTTGGTCAGGAAGTGACAGAAAGATTAGGTGGTAACTATTACACACATCTCTTTCTTAGAATATACCCTTCTCACATCAAGGCAGAAAGCAAACAAGATTTTCAAGAACAGTCAGATAAAATTTCAAACCAAGAGCTTATTGAACTGCCTTGAAGTGGTTTCCACTTAACGAAATAGGAAGTAAAGGAAAAATGTGGCTAGCCAATAGATGCTCTCCTGCCTCACCCTTACCTTTTGTAGTTCACATATTTGTGTTTGATGGTCAATTATTGGGAGACCTGGAAAGTTGCATTCCAAGCATTCCTGCTTCTAAAAGAAGTTCACAACCAAAGCACCTTGGAGGAGGTCCTTTACTGTTGTTGCTGAAAAGAGAAATCTATTCTTGTCAGAAGCCAGTTCAGACTCAGCCTGCTGATTCCATCAGAGAATCCTGCCTTGCATGGTCCAGGATCCAAACACTCTGAAGCATGGTGGGAGTTAAATTTTATTTGTTCCACAACCATATAAGCATATATACACAACATTACATACTATACACATTTGCAAGGTATCCTCCACTCTTAGTCCATCTGGTCTCTCCAGTTCCTAAACGTTCAGAAGAACCTTGAGGCAGGATTAATTCGTGGAGTCTCTGAGGCATGCTGCCTCTTGGGGTCAACCAGGGGAGGAGTATGTGTAGGCTCCGAACAAAACCCACCTCAAAGTTACACAGAGCGATTCGTTCGCCATCTTAATTTCAAGTTTAAATTTGGTCAACTGCTTCTTCAGTTATCCAGTTCTTATTGAAACAACAATAAATACAGCTTTCTCATGACATATTTCCTTATAGGAAAAAGAAAAAGATCGCTAGAAGGCAATTTAGTCACTTCTGATTGCTAAAGAGAAAAGGTCTTTGCATTACCAATAGTTCCATTTGAGAAAAAAAAAAGTGTGATCTCATGCCATTACATTCTGTGAAAATCACAAATGGATACATTTGAAAATGTCTAATTTTATTCTGTGTGCACTGATATTGTGCAGGGATAGAGAAAAAAAAACATGGCCATATTTCCCTGAGGATAATTTTTCCATACAGACCAATATTACAATGACACATTTTTGTAAATATTTTGAGTGTGCATGATCGATTTTTGTCACTTGTCCAACACCTAGAAGTGCTGACAACATCCTAGCACACCCTTCTGGATCTGCTTTAGCAAGCAACTGGTAACTATCCAAAAATGGCTGCTCTATTTTGATGTATGCTTAATTAATGCTACATATGACACTCCAAATGTCACAATTCATGAGTTTAAAATATTAATTCTTAGATGGCTTCGGTTAACTGGTTCTAAAGTGGAATTTGAACTTAACTTCACATGGGCATTAAAATTCTCCTACAATAAGTTCAACTTTAAAATAAAGAATTTCATAAAAACCTTTTATGATTTTAGCCCAAGGATAAAAATTACATAAGAATGTTACAGATAATACATGGCTTCTTAGTATCATAACTCTATCTTCAAACCCACAGGAGATGGTGGGATTTTGAGTTATCACATCGGGCCACAAAGTCCAAGCTGCTTTTTGATGAAAGTGGAGATTAGGAGCTATGGCCATTGCTGGTACTCCACCAGGACATCATGTGACAAATTGATTTGGTCACTCTCAAGTCTGTCAAGAAGTGTCACACAGACCACGGCAGCTATGAACGCAAGTCATATGGTTAGTGATGCAAATGGGCTTATCTGTTCTACAGGATATTAGCCTAAAGCACCAACATTCACAACATGTGCGGTTTAATTGTCCCCCTGTAACATTGACATAATCTCCTGGATCCTCTAGTTTTCTCTATCTTTCCTTCCTTCCTTCCTTCCTTCCTTCCTCCCTTCCTTCCTTCCTCCCTTCCTTCCTTCCTTTCTTCCTTCTTTCCTTCCAAGACACATCTAAATTAGTCAATTGAAGATATTAAAATATTAAAAACCCTCTTTCCTCTGCACTGTACTAGAGGAAGGGAAAGCTCAGATGAAAACAAGAAAAAAAAAGTTTGTATCCAAGGTACACACATTGGAATTTCAATGGCACTTGCCAGGCTCTTCCTCCTCAAATGATGTTTGAGTGCTGGGTGCAGTGCGTGAATGTGCTTGAGGCAAGCACAAGGAACTAAATGTGGGATGCTAGCCAGAAAATACCCATGAAGGTGAACACAGATTCTGATGAAATTTAAGATCTCAAGTCAAATGTTTGAACATTAAGCTTAAGAGCATGAAAGAGCAAACACATTAGCATTTAATTTCCAAAGCATGAGGGAGATCATGTGTTGTGGAAAACAAAACAACAATGTCTGGGAAAGAATGCAGTAATTTCTAGAATGCAAAGTTAGCATTTTTTTTTTTTGACCCAAGGAAATTATCTTTGATTTGTCCTATTAGGAAAATCCAGACAGGAAAAAAAAAAGGATACTATATGGATTCTTTATTATCAGTTTCATATTAAGTCTCTGATTCCAAGGAATGTGCTTACTTATACTGGAATCAGTGTTGAGCATTTAGGATTGGTAACAGTGCACTAGTCTCTGTCAGCATCTGAAAGTGCTTAACTGCAAAGGGGGTCAACTCCAAGGTCATTGGCAACCTGTGAGCGCACAAAGATAGAGTTGGGTAATATATGTTTATTGACTCCCTGCTTCAGGCTTCATTGGGAGATAAGGATTTAGGAAGAAGTAGTCTATAATCACAAGAGTTTGTGCTATCTTTTAAATATTTACTTTTCTTTGATAAATGACACTTAAATATATCTAGGGGTACAATGAAATGTTTCAGTAGACATATGCATTATAGGAAGACTTAATCTAACATAGGCACCCTCTCACATTTACTTTTCATAAGAACAATTAAAATTTACTTCTTTAGATATTTAGACATATATGTTGTTATCAACAATATTCATTAGGACATTGAAATATATTCCTCATCTAACTACAACTTTGTGCCCTTTGGCCAATATGTCTGCACTTCCCATCCCACCAACCCTCCACAGCCTTTTATAGCCATGATTCTAATCTCTATTCCTATGACTTTTTTAGATTCCATACATGAATGGGATTGCACAAGATCACTCTCCATGCCTGGCTTAGTGCGATTTCTGCAGTGTTTATCTGCACTGTCACAACCCCCCCAAATATTCTTTATAAGACAAAAATGTTCCATTTTATGTGCGTTTATGTGCATTTTGTTCATCCAGTCATTCTCCCAGTCATTACTGGGGGCCAGTGGCTTTTGTGAGTGATGCTATCGTGAACACTAGTGATGGCATCTCTTCCACACACTGAGTTCAATTCTTTAACTTACATATTCAGAGGTGAGATTTTTTTAGACACCATGGCAGCTCTGTTTTCAGTCTGAGATACCTCTATCCTGTTTCCCATCACCAGCATACTTGGGTTCATATCTCCATCACCAGCATACTTGGGTTCCTTTAGGTTTTTAACCTCCTCACTAACATTTGTAATTGTTTGTCTAGCCATTGCAACAGGTGATCAGTGAACACTGGGCTACTAAATTATATTAATTCCTCATGTATTTTGGGTGTAAACATCTTATTATTCAACTTGAAATTTTTTTCCAACTTGTGTAACTTTTTGTCTGGCTTAGTTCTTGTTGCTTGTCAGGCATTATGATATCGTAATTCAGGCAGCCATGTCATGAATGAGGTAACATTTTGTTCCCTTAACCAGATGATGAAATGAAGACTTAGAAAAGTTAAACAAATGGCTCATTATGATGCAACTGCTAAGTATAGCCAGTTAATCCCCCACGTCCTAAACAGCTGCATCTACACCTCACCTGGTACATGATAAACTGTTCCGACTTGGCGTGGCCTGCCCATCAAAATGAGGCTCACAATCAAGTAAAAAGAAATGAAAATATTCAACTGGGGAAGAGTTGAATATTTCATCACCTAAAACCCTATTTACTCAAAAATCACTCACTTGGTTGTAAAGCACCTTGGCTGAGCAGGTAAACAAAGTGGGAGAGCTAAAGACCCCCCCCTTTGCAAATTAATGAGCCACAGATCTGTGAAGTACAATGTGGCTGGCAGATGCAGGGAACCTTGCAAGTCCAGTTCCAATCCCTCATTTGGCAGAAGGATAAAAGGAAACTGGTGTTCTCTGCTCTCCAGGCTGTTTCCCTTGGATTTCAATGGTAAGGTTAAATCTGAAGAGAACAAGTAACAGCAATTCTGGCTTTGCTTTCTCCGCCCTGGAGAGCTCTAACAAGCATATAATGATCTTGTCACCTAACTATTTCCATGAACAAATAAAAGGGACTAATTACCCAGAACAACTTGTCAAAATGAAGCTTGTAGCTTTGCTGCCATAATCCTTAGATTAGGCATGAAGGGGAGTTCCTGGGGCCAGAGGGACACTTAGTGACCTACCTGTCACCACGAACATTGCCAGATACCTGACCCAGGTAGAATGTAACAGGAACACATAGGTGTAAGGTAGGGCTTACTGTGTTCAGAGCCCTGTCATAATGCCTAGCAATTCTCAGCCCTTTGGCATCATTTATGGCCACCCAGAGAAGCTGATGACAGTCACCACTGTGTCTTTTTCAGATTAAAAAAAAAAAAAGATGTGTATTTCTATGCACACAAAATATCTGCAGATAATGCAGATAACTTTAGGGAGCTAGGGCCTCTAGAGCTCATCCATCAAATCCTTTAGATTCCACACAGCTTTCTGGTCTGCTGTGTTCACAGCCTGTCTCTGATTCAGATCAAACCTTAGCAAGGTTTGTGCATTAATGGGAAGTGGGGGTGGGCTAAAGCTAACAAGGCTGGGAGGCAACACCCATGTACACAGCAGAAACCAAAAGAGCTGGCTGTGGGAAATCAGCAAAGGTTTGTGTTACAGCTCCCCACCTGGCTTATCTGTCTATTCCTTTTATCCATTCCCCCCACCCCCACCCCCCACTTCTGCCACTCAATCTTCTGTTGTTCCTCAATGTTTGAATTTATAACACTAACACTCTTTGGTCCTGGCCTGCCTGTTGTGGAAGGCTCTAGAATCATGTCACCATAAGCCTATGCCTTTCACCTCCTGTGTCTTCTTTGCGACCTTGACCTCAGGTTCTTAGTGGCCTATCACAAACCAAGTGGAGAAGTTCACATTCAGAGGGGCCAGCAGGACAAAAGACTTGCAAATAACCAATTTCTGTAGGTTCATGTTTCTCAAAACTTGGTCTGCTGGCCACCTGTATCTAGACACCAATAGTTCAGATTCTCATGCTACATTCCATACTCCATATCCCCAGGAACCAGAGTGGAGAGCAGGGGTGGGGGAGAGCACAGTAAATACTTGTAGAAAGCAGGCCTTTTTTATTTGAACTCTCTGAAAACTACTTTAAAGATTTTCAACTCCATTCTGGAATCAAACCAAGTTACCACAAACATACATACTTCTTTAGGTCAACAAAGGCATGCTGAATTAACTGGATGTGAGCTTTCACATTGTATCCTCTGATTGTCTGATGGCTTTTATAAAAGTGTTATTAAAGATGCTTCCTGTTACATCAGAGCTGACGATTTCACTTGTTTAATATTTGGATAAAGTTTAACATTTGAATAAAGTTTTGTCAAAACAAACCAAAAAGGAAAACACCTCAAATGCTTCCTTTCCTTAGTAACACAACTTGTTTTCAATTTTTACCTAAGAAGTCCAGAGCTCAGTCCTGGTGTTTGCATTTAGCTTTGAACTCCTGGGTAGTGTCTTTGAAATTGGGGCTCCTAGGGATATGTCTACTCACTTTCATAAGCACCTCTTATTCTTCTTCCTTTGTTTTAAATACTTTTTAGACATCCCCAATCCACTGAAAGCTGAAACTAGTGTTTTCTCCAGTACGGTGTGCTCACATCATTTTGTTCACCTTGTGAACAAAACAGCCAGGAGGCAGTGATGTCCAATCTACTCCATCCTTGTTCTTGCTTAGCTGTGCTTCCTTAGGCTGCTCAATTATTCCCTCTGGACCAGGCTTCATCCTCTCAGAAAAGGATGTCTTTCAGAGCCCAGGTTCTACCTCACATCATCGTGTCAGCAGAAAGACCATGTTGTCATCCCTGTGGAGGCCTAGCAACCAAGCTGGGGCCTTGATCTGCTGGATGCTGGGCCATGAAACAAGATGACTTGGGATGACAGGCAATGGAGATAGTTCTGGTCCCTGGTCCTGAGGTCAGAGCAGAGAGAGGCCAGTACAGGCTGTGCCAGCCACACAGAGGGTGCCCTGGCAGTAGCAAGAGGAGGCTAGGATTAGAATTAAAGTCAGTCAACCAAAAGTATACTGGCTTTAATTCAAAATATGCTGAAGGGTTTCAAAGTAAGTTCTTTTTTCTTAATCTTGTCTTTGTCAAATTTACAAGCTGAACAGTAGCTAAATGTTAGAATTTTAAATGTTTCATCTCAAAGAAAAGAAAAATGTTTGAGATGATGGATCTACTAATTAGCCCAGTTTGATAATTACACAGGCTATACACATATTGAAACTTGCACAGTTATTATTCAACAAAAAAAGCACTGCAAGGTGTGGTGTGGTGACTTACATCTGTAACCACAGAATTCTGGAGGTTGAGGCAAGTGACCAAGGCCTCACCATCACCCCAGGCAAACAAAGTAATAGGTTAGCTACTTATTGACATCTGAGTTTT